TCTGAGACCTCTTCGGAGCTGGGTGACAGTCCCCTTAGAAGACTGAAATGAGTGCACTTGGAAACCACAGTTAGCCTGGTGAATGTGACAGGGGAAAATTGCTTCTGATTGACAGAATGATCAGGTAAAGAAAAAGTCACAATCAGATGTCATCTTCAGAGTTTTTTGTTTGTCTTAGGTAAATCACTCCCTTTCCGCCTCTCTAGAGATGTTTGTGTAGAAGCAGCTTTTGCAGGGCAATCAACATGTTCTAGAGAAAGACTTTCACATGTTTGGGGCAGCAGAGAGGTTCCTTAGGGTGCAATAGCTGTGGACAAGGCATGAGCTAAGGGTGAAATACAGGAGAGGTTCAGTAAGTATTTGTGACAAGAGAATTTCGGTGACTAAATGAGATGGCTCAGATGCAGTAAAGCTTAGATCTTGCAGAAGCTGCTTGCAAAGGTTTGTGTATCAGTTATTCGTGTGATTGTACCAACTGCCTTGGTCTAAAAAGATGTTTGATTCAGATCTCTTCGGCTGCAGAAAAGCATAAAAGAGTAGACCTAGGCACTGAGTTTTGAATTCAGTTTTCCATTTTCTTTTCTCCGCTTCTCCCTTAAGTTTAGAAAGAATTAGTATTTTAGGCTATTTTCCTGAAGAATTATTTGATCGTTGCAATCTCTCTCTCTGTCCACCAGTCCTTCTGGATGACTTGAGAGCCTGCTGTAGCCCTCAAGTGTAGATCTCTCACAGATATGAAGCTTCTGTGACTCTATGAAAGCTGGTAGCTGACTAACAAAGGACCTATGTAGTGCCCCACTCCGTAAGACAGGGAGGCCCTTATTACAGTGAGGAGCAGCTGGGTGATGATAGCAGTTGTAATTCCTACATTTGCTTCCAAAATGAAGGTGAAAATGGTGGGGAGTTGGTGTGTATGGAAGTCAAAGTGAAGATGAGGACATAAGCTATCCACATCTTGTCTGGCTTCCTGATTTCCCCTGCTCAGGGTGTATCTTGTGTTTAATTCTGTTTCCTTTGCTGCCTTTTTTGTTTGTTTGTTTACATCACCTATCAAGTTTATCATTATGTGCCTGTGCACATAAAGTCTGTGTTAGCCATGTGTATTCTCTGTTTTAATTTTCCGTTTTTCTTCCTTTGTTAACAAACTCTGCTGAATGCAGATCTTTTCCCATTTAACACCACCCAGACTAACGTTTTCTAGCCACGCAACTGGATGGGTGCTGATTCCTTCCTCCACCACCCCGCTGTGTGGAATGGGGGCATCCCCTGGTAGAAGCAGCAAATGCACCTGCCCTCCCAGCCAAACCTGGAGTCACAGTCCTCTTTGAGAAGAAGAGGAGAAATAGAAGTTGGGCCATGACCTTAGGTGTGGTTTTAAACAAAGGTGTTTAGGGTCCACATCCTTGTGCTTCTTTGGTCTCTTTGAAGGGTCTGGCAAAAGGAGAGGTGAATGGGGGTTGGTGCTGAGACTGAGAAGGTCCTTTGTGCTCTGTTTCACAGTTCATCTGTTCTCAAAAGCCCTGGAGTTGTGGTTAGATATTAGCCACGTATGCATCCCACCAGCTTGGCTCGACTTGGTCCCCGCATTGACAACAATGTCAAGTAATGTATTTCCTCGCTAGTTGTGAGGGCTGGTGCTCTCACCCCTGTTGTAAGTGAAAACTGGGTTAAAAGAATTTCAGGCTCTTTGCACCAGTTTTCCCAACTGGAAACACTGTACTGATGCCTTCTACAAAAGGACCCAGTTGGCTCCACTGGTTTTAATGATAGGTCCATTTCTTCAAACATACCTTGAACAGTAAGGGACCATGCAGTTATCGTGTGGACATGTGTCCATGTTACAGCTGGGCGCTGTGAACATCCTTTCCTTCTGGACAATAGTGAGAACAATGTTTCTGCACTGACATCCCTTGAAATCCTTCCTAACAAATCCTTCCCTAGAGAGTCTTCTAAGATTATTCTGCCTTGGACAGGTGGAGTGAATAAATCATCTTCTGGCCCAAGCCTTTTATGGTCCTTTACTCTTAACACTTTTTCTAGAATATCGGTTTAAGGGACACCAATAAAGTGTTTTCACTGTCCATGTGGGAATGGCGTAGCCTCTGATTTGTGTCCTCGCTCTTTCAGACTTCAGAAACCCCGTGTATTTTTTCAACCTTGTTTTTCAGTAGGGATGAGAGTTTCATTTCAGACACTGGCATTAGCTGGAGTTTGAACTTCAGTGGCTACAAGAGTGTAAACCACCCCTCTTCCATAGGGGATAAATCTTTAAATCCAGATTCTGGGGCTTTCAAAGGTTGACAGAGCTGCCTAGCAGATCCTGTGAAATGCTCCTTGCATGGGACAGAGAGCAAGTGAAGCAGCAGCGTGTGGGTCAGAACACCACCGACCACAGAAGAGTAACTGCTGTGATCTGGAGAAAAATAAGAGCAAATGAGGTAGATGGAAGAATCAGGAAACAAACCTTTGGGACATCTTTCACTGGTTCCCAGTTTGTCATTTTGGCACTTGATCTACATAATGCCTATGTAAATAAACGGAGGACTTTTTTGACCAACGTCTCATAGTTCTTTCACAAAAAGGGGTATCTCAGAGGGATGCAGAGCCCACAGACAACAGTAAAAAGATCCCCAATCAGTGTGTTTGGGGCGAAGTCCTTTCTGAAAGGGCAGGGGTTTGCAAATCAGATCCCAAAGCACATCCTATGAGAAAAAGTATCTAGAGGTTCAGAAAATAAGTGGACAGGAAGGCTGGAGTCACCCGTGGAGGTGTGTGTCTGGGAAGATCCACAGTAAGGGGCACTGGCAAGTGAACAAAATAGAGGAAGATCCTGAAGGGAAGACCAAGTAGCTTGAACTTGGTAAGACGGGAAAGAGGAGGTGGCTGAGAAAAGTCTTGTCATTCATACCGAAGCAGCCTTTTCATTTGCTGGCTGCTCGTTCCTTGTAGCGCTGAGGTGCACTTTCCTTCTTTAACTGTGTTCAGTTCTTCCCTCCTGAAAAGCTGCTTTCATTGTCAGGCAACATCATGGTTTATTGCAATGTCATTTTCAGGTTACACCAACAGTGCAAAAGCAAGAGATGTACATGTCATGTCTCATTTACTCAGCTGCAGAGTCGTTACTTGTGCTGATCATCTTTAAGCCATAGATTGGGCTGCAACTCCTGGAAATGCGTCACGTATTTCTTAGCATGCAGCCGCTGGAGTGATGAAGATGGGGACGAGTCCTGAAGGGTACGTCAGAGAAAGCCTCTGCAAATCACGAGATCTAGTTCTGCTGCTCCATATAATTAGCGATTAAAATGAGGAAAAACAAAGCAGCAATTTTCTTATTGATCCCTCAGCAAATAGTTCTGTCTATTTTCTTCTGTATTGTTTCTTCTTATTAAATAGCCTTGAATAAGAAATGTCAGTCAAATGAATTTAGATTCCTGATGCTTCAGACAGAAATCAAAGCAGGACTGAATGAGGAAAGATAATTAGAGAGAGGAATTCCACCTCCACAGACTTCTTCCCTTGCTCAAGGAGTGCTGATTTTATCTAAATTGCCAAAGCCATGAGCAAATGAGAGGTGATGGGAATTACAGACTGCAGATGCTGAGACAAAGCAAGGGAAGCTTTAATTAGTGCATTTTAAGGTAGAAATTAATTTCCTGGGAATAAATTATTTGACTCAAGGCATGTGGAGCTTCTTACAGGTGAACTGAAGAGCTTTTTACCTGCCAAAACCAGGGCTCACAGGTTGAACGTGTCTTGTAGAAGTGAGCGGTGCATCACTGAGGTCTGAAGCATGTGGGGATGAATCCTCCTTTCCTTTGCATTCCACGGTTTTTGTTGTTTGTTTCTTTGTTTGTTTTTTTAATATGGAGGAATTCCCATTGATGCAGATTCCCAACAATGTAATAGAAAGCAGGTTTTTTTTTCTAATATGCACATTTACTCATTCAAGCAATAATGATAGACCTACTGTGGCTGAGGAGTTGGGAGTTATGTATTGAACCTACAGGTGCTGAATGAAAGTTATTTTCCTTTCAAATTCGCCTCTTACTCTCCTCTCTTAGCTCTGTTGTTGTCCTCCCATCACACTTGCACGCACGTGAGGACACTGGAAACCTTAAAACACTGACCTTTCTAATTTCCAGCAGATTTGCACAGCTTTTCAAAGGGCGAGACAGTGACAACTCTCTACTATTTGGAGGAAGATAGAAATTCCTGCTTGAATTGATGGAGCTGAAATGAAACCATTTGGCTGGGTGCTTTAATCCAGAAGTCCCTGACTTCAGCAGAACTATCCAAGCTCTTAATTATTTATGTGTTCTGTGTGAGGCAGTTGCTCACAAGCCTTGTGAATCAGACAGGAGCAGGTCAAATGGTTACGTTATGGAAGTGCTTACAGACCCCCTGATGCAGGTGCTGCACAAGCACAGAATAAAATGGTTTTACCCCTCCAAGAACGACACCATTCTCCTCTGCTCTGAAAAGTGGGAATGAAAGCACATCGAGAGGCTGCTGGATGGACAGGCCACCCCAGCAGCAGCTTTCTGACATCTCGGGGGTTTGCTGGCATTGGTATGGGTATAAGCTGGAAAATCACCCTGTCCTCCCTTCCTGGGAGGAATCACCACTTGTGATCTTCCAAAAATCCTGCTCTGCTCCCAGCCAAATGTGTAAGATAACAACAGGTGGGTAGAGCAGAGGTGTGACCTAGCGGCTTCAGCTTGGTCTTTTTGACAAAGGGACCTAAAGTCTCATGAAAGCTAAAAAAACCACCCCACACCCTCTCTGGGAAAACAAGTATCATGCTCGTTGTTTTTTCTAATGTTCTCGTTGCCTATTTCAGATGTTGCTATTTTGTCCTATAGGTTTATTTCTGTTACCCGTGATGAATGAATGCAGTCAAGAGGTATTGAACGCTGATGTGTTTATCTTATGGCAAGATAGAAATGTTGCGAACTTGTGAGCTTCAGGAGGAAATGGGCTAATTTTAGATTTGTTCCTAGCCCTCGCCATGCGAATGGTGTCGCTGCGAGCCCAGCAATGAAGTTCACTGTGTTGTAGCAGACTGCGCAGTTCCCGAGTGTGTCAACCCAGTCTATGAACCAGAACAGTGTTGTCCTGTCTGCAAAAATGGTAAGAAAGTACTGTATTGGCTTTAACAAAGAGATATAAAGGAAACATTTTATTAAAATGTTGTTACTGATGCATCGCCAGGAGCTTGGCTTTCATCGGCACAGGCTGGCGTTGGGGCTGTTGCTTCTCCTTGCGTGTGGGCTTCAGTTACAAGGTGGCAACTGGGTAAAATTAAGGCTGCTCTTCCTGGCCTGTATCCTCTTGTTGAAGCTGATGGGATTGCTGACTCGAGTAAGGCTTTATAGGATTAAGTCCTGATAGCAGTGATAGTCGTTTCATGTCTTTGCTTTTTTATCATAATTAGTCTAACATGAAAGCAAGTGTATAAGAAAGGAGAGGGCCTTTGTCCCTGCATTACGAAACCAATGGTTATTACCTAAGACCAGGGGAAAACTCACTGAAGTCAATTGTCCAACTCCCACTGGAGCCAGTAAGACACCCACCAAACCTCTAACATTGCAGGGTGTGTGCTGGAATCTGTGTGTGTAGCGTTGGCCCTCATCGTCCTGCTGGAACAATTTCACGATTTGGAGTCAGATTCAGCAGTGCTTTCAAGAAAGGTTTTGGGATGACTAAAAGTACCTCTTTGGAAAATAAGTCTGTTTCCAAGAAGCTCTCCTTGGTCTTGTACCACAGCCCATACACACGTATGTCTCTGGAAAAGCACCTTTCTCCTAGTGTAGATATGAGGACAAATTAAGACGTGAACTGCCTTCACATAAACCTCTTCATGGCTTTCGTAACATAGAAGAAATGCCTGCTTAGACTCATCTTCTCCTGGTTGGAATTCACTGCCCATATATATTTCCTCTGACATGCATCTCTGCTGCTGGATAAGAGTAATGGTTGCTTTTGGATCTAAAAGAAAATGTTTACAGAGAAATAACATTTTCAGCACATTTTCTGCTCTTTAAGACAGAGAAAAAGCAAACAGCTGGAAATGCAAAATATTTTTACTAAAGAATTGGCAAAACTAAGACCAGTAAGGAAATGATACCAAAAATACTATTTGAAATCCCGAGGTTTATATTAAACCGTGATTTTTACTCAAAAAAACCATTTTAGAATATTTTCATTCAGAGTTTTACATTTTTGTTGCAAAGCAGAAAATGTTCGTAGTGAATTTCGCTGGTTTATTGCTGCTGCTGATCTTCAGAGAAAAGGTATGTTAACCAGCTCTGCCTACCACCGTTGCATATAGCCTACTGCCAGTGGGTATGAGGTTTCCCATTGCACTCAGCAAGACTGATGTCTTGGGTTGATGACTGGGAGGGGTATCAGTGGCTATTGCTGTGCCTGTCACTGTAGCTCAGACTCATTTACACCTGAACAAACACCATTCATGTGTGTTTGGCCTCTGTGTTCCCATCACATATCGGGTATCGTGCTGCATCCCCATCATTTATGATGGCAGCACTTGCCTTCCCATCTGGTTTGTGTCACATGAATCCAAACTCGGGCTTCCCAAGGGTGTAGACTCAAAGGTGGCTTCACACAGATCCAAGAGCTGCTGGATTTCCCTGCCAACCCTTACCCACCATGAGCATTTCCCCCAGTAACCAGACTTGCTCGCTTTGAAGGTCGGTGGCTTTCTGTGTTGCAGTCCCCAACATCCCTGGTGATCAGGAGTGAGTAGCATCTTTCTTCCAGAAAATGGGAAGGGTGCCCAGGGAGCCAGGAGAAGAGGGAAGGGAGCAGCTCCTACTGATGGGAGCAAGAATAGGATGAAAGAAGGAACAGCAGCCACCCACCGAAGGGGTTCCAGAGCACAAAGTAGTGGTTTGAACCCTCATCTGGAAGCCAGGAGAAGGCTTCTTCCATGTTTTTGCCAGATTTCCATGTGCCTCTCTTCACTGATCTATTTGAGATACAAAGTCCTCTGAAACTTGTTTTAGGCAGGAAAATATTTCTCACCATCCTCTTAAGAGC